AATGACTATTTCTTATCAGTTGTTCCTTTCTTAAATAAATAGACTTGTAAACAAAAGTGTCGAACCGCACAAAATTTACTAAGTAGGAATTAAAAATGTATTTTTATACATTTTGTCAGATTTTGGAAAGGGGTCATATAGAGAACTCTTCAACAACCCTTCGTATATTTTGAATTGTAACAAATCTACAGTCCGTATGAAGTTATTATACGAATTGCATAAAACTCAAATTTAATTTGAAAAATCTCTGTCAAATTTTAAGCGATTAATTTTGATGGCGAAACAAAACTACCGTTAAATTTTAACGTAGTTTCAAAATGTTTTATTAAAGTTATTAGATTTATTATAAAAACTGCAGTTTGATGTTATTATGCAAAACCAGAAAATTACTTTTTACTTTTATAACAAGGTACTAAAATCATCAACAACTGATCAACACCTATAATAGAATAAATGAACATATAAAAGTCTTTAAAACATTTAGATTGTAATATAGTGACCCTTTTAAATAACAATATGCAATCTATTATCCATTGATTTTGTTAATTTATTTACATCAGCAGATTCATTTTCTGATACGATAGTTTTAATTGCTCTCCATAGGTCTTCTTTCCTGTTATATTGTTTTCCAATTTCATATAATTTCACCTTCACAATTGATCATAGATTATCGATCGGATTCAGATCGGGACATAATGATGGACATTCTGTTAGCTTCTCTCCTGTAAACCTTTTACCCGATTAAATTTACGGGTAACCATAGATACATGAGAAGTAGCATTGTCGTACATAAATACACACTTCACTTTGAGACTTGGACTTGTATCATTCAAAGAAAATCGTGTCCATGAAATCGCAATAGTTCAGTTTAACTTCTTCATCGACTTTTAAATGTCTAATAATGGTTTGGTCGACAATTCCAGCATCACGCTGCTAGCCACAAGTAAATCTGTGACCGATAAAATTCATCCTTTGGCCCGGCCCATCTATTAGATCCATTGAGCGTCACTTGAGATTCGTCCGTGAAAAATACTTTAGAAAAGTCAAATTTAATGTATTTTTTTGGCTCAATTTTGACGCTTTGAAACATTTGATTTACTGAGACGAGTTTGCTTAGGAGATTTCTTGACAGATCCCAATTTCTAAAATATTCTACACTTTTTGTCCTTTTTAATTCCCTCAATCCCAGCCTGTATCCAAGATCTGAGCACTGGTCAAAAGTGGTTGTGGTCGATTTAATTTACGTTGCCTTCGAGGAAACAAGTTCTTAAATCATTTCCCTTTGATTCTAGTTCTTAAATGAGTTTATATTTTCAACACTCGTTCGGTGATCTATGCGTAGCTATCTTCAATATGAACATATACGCACTTAATCAATCAGTTATGTGCCATGCGGGATACACGCTTAGGCGATCATGTATCGAAAGATACATGACTGACGAGGCAGATTTTTTCCCGCAGTAGGTTGCCATTTCTTTCTACAGTAGGCCAGTTGGTATCCAAGGCTATAGAAGCCTGTCTCTCCTGCTATTTATCCATAGCTGGTGGGGGAGAAAAAAAGGATTCATACCTTTCCCAAGAGTATTATCATGTAAGTAAATGTAATGGATTTGAATGGAATTCGAACTCGGCTCTACGATTTCTCAAGCCGAGCCGCTATCCATTACATCACCGTGCCAATAACTTTGTTATTTTCTGTTTTCAGCGTTTTTTAGATCCTTTCAGTTGCACATATTTCAACATATATGAGGAAAAAATTTTAAAAAAAAGTAGTTTTTATTAGATTTTAGAGATCTTAACCTAATATTAGTTTAATCTACATAATAACATCTGTCTGCAGTTTTTATAATAAATCCAATAACTTTGATCAAACATGCTGCAATTACCTCAAACATTTAATTGAAGCATTGGTTTGACATCTAAATTAATCGGTTAAAATTTGACAAACATTTTTCAAAACAATTTTGAGTTATTGAGGTTTATGTGATTTGCTTAATAATTTCAGACGGACTGTATATCATTACTGAATTATTTTTTATGCGTCTCAGTGTGGGATAATGGTCAAGGAGCTACTCAAGGTGAGTATTACTACTGAACAATGAGTTTCACCCTCAATGCCCCCCTCCCAGCCACATATTTGTTGTCTAGTGTCAAACTAAGCTAAACTTAAATGTTTTTTTCTGTACCTTTCTAACAGTTCAATACATTCATTCAAATTTCTTATTTATATTATAAATCACCCAATACAATGCTCAGGAGCTACTTATGGCAGAAGTGTGTGACAATGAATGTAAGAGGATGTAGAAAAAAATGAAGACTATGACGACAAGAGGAGAAATAACGATTGACCCTTGACTTGAAGAGTAGCGTTCAGGGAATCATCTCCGTGGGAGTTTGTTCCACAGAGCAGCAGTTCACGGGAAAAATATGTCTGAATGAAACTTCTTTCTTACAAACGGAATACAGACGAAATGTGGATTATTCGAGTCAGTAGACGTAGCTTGGTGAGTGGTAGGTGTCAAGGTCCGAACTGGTAGAATTAAGGAGTAGAGCTCATCTACCATAGAAATAACATCCCCTACAAGACAGCGTAAACGGATTTTAACTTTATCAAGGTTGGAAAGAGAGGATTGACAGTCCATTTTTTGGTCTAATGGGTTAATTTGCAGATTAGAACCTGCGCTCAGTTTGCAATAAAATTTTTCCGAATACTTACATTTAGGTGTAAATTTACATACTTCATTCAAAAATGCTTTGATGAATTTAATAAAATCTATCGTTTTGGAGTTATCAACAGTTAATGTTCGGATTCATTCGCGTCGCGGCAGCCATTACTGGCGTTGTTTGCATACATTTGCTGCCGAATAGATAGGAATGGAATATTCACTTTTCTTGATTATGGCACACGCAATATAGTTATCTTGTGCAGTAATTGAAAAAGGCCGTCAACTACGTTCTTCCGCGCTTAGATTTCCGCAGTAAATGTATGCAAACAACGCCAGTAATGGCTGCCGTCAGCGATGCGAATGAATCGTATATGAGAATTCCAATTGAGATCTAGAGTGGTCTTTATTTAAATTACTATCACCCACATCGTTCTAGGTTGACGATAAACTACATCCGGCAGTAAACATTTTTGAAAAAAAATACCAAAGCTCCCAAGATTATTAAATTTCGGCATTAAATGACCCATGAGAAGTTGATATGCCATTAAACAAACCAAACCAAAATTTCTCCCACTCTAACGTTATGTCGTAAAACAGCAATAACATTTACGAACAAATAAATCTTCGCTAAAGATTTTTCCATTTTTTTTAAACATTTTAATTTTAATAATTTATAAAGTTTGAAATCTTTCAAAATTCTGTCTTAAATAGTAGAGGTTTGGTGATATTGTTATTAAGTAAAAACTATATTTACTAATCATGAATAGAAAAGCTTAGTAGAATTCATTGACACACAATATTGTAAAGAATTTTGAAATTCTTTTTGATGTGTATAAACGTGCCGATTTTTGTAAATACGGATGTCCATACACGACGTTATCAGAAAATAAGAGCGATAACTATAGTAAATTTAAAGTCAAAGTACCTAAAATTCAATAAAATATTAGGTTTTACAGATATAGCCACCATAGAAAAATATTAGATAAGCTTCCGGCCGCCATCAAACTGTAAACACCTAATGCATTTCTACGATGCTTCAAATTTGAAGTAATATTTTTTTCAAATCAGATTAATTAAGCTTTAAATCAGCTAATATTCTTCAAATAAATTTTAAAGAAAAGTATATTTTATTTTTGGAAGATTTTTAATAAAGAGAATTGTGATGAAAGATGGATAACAATGGCGATAAAATCAGTGATTTTAGCAATTTCAAAACGAAAACTCCTTCCAGTCAATTTAAATTAATATTTTTGAAAATATTAAATTTAATCTATTAGCTTGAAATTAAAACTAAAATAAAAGTTCCAAGAAAGCATTTTTCATTTTTAAATATTCATTTCAACGTCGCGATACTTAAGTGATACCTGAGTTTTTATTAAAAGTAGTTATTCTTTTCAAATTGATGAGTTTCATTCCTATTTTATTTTATTCAAATTTTAACCATATTCATTGGAACACTTGCGATAATGACATTTTGTGAGTGAACATAATCGTTAACTATTCGATTACTCTTCTATTGTTCTTGCTCTTTATAAAGTTTCTCTTTTTTCTTATTTCACACTCATTAACCTCCTGTTTCTTAGTAGTTTAACTGCCTTGCATGAAGGCATATGACTAAAAAAAATATAAATAATTTTAAGAACACGTCCTGCTTTCAAATAAATTTGCTTTTAAGACTTACTTCAAAAATATTAAAAAAAAAACATTTAAGAAAATTTAAAAAAGCCTTAAAATGTTATTAAAAAGCACAACGTCTTTTAAACTAACGTAAATAAAAATATTTCTACGTGTATAGAAAGCAATTTGGAGACCAATTAATTATTACCATTGTACTTTTACATTTATTGTAAAAATGAGAATAATAATAACCTTCATGCAATTGTCTTGCAACAGCCGTCAAATTTCAACAAACATGAATTTATGAAATGAAAATAAATTAATATTTAACAAGTCCTCTGCCAATATAAGCTGTTACCATATCTGCAAAAATCCGAAGTAGAAATAATGAAATTAAGTCGTCATTTACCCGCCATAGTACTCTGAATAGCAATTGAGTGATCGATTCTTTTTCTACAGCTTATAAACCCTTTATCGGTTATTTATAGCCAGAAAAATATTTTTAGATCTCAATAATTTTTTTTTGTAGATAATGATGATTTAGTGATACAAGTGTTACTAATTAACCCATACATGATGGGAATAGTTGGATTCATACCTTTCCTAAGCGTATTTGGGCGTAAGTAAATATAACGAACCCAAAGAAAATTGGAATTTGCCCCCACCCCCGATTAAAAATTTCCAGCTATTATCAACCACACCACCCGTACACCCAAGCTTACAGCACCTAGTATTCCCAAGCGCTCACCGATGTAGGTACTAACCAGGCTCGAAGTTGCTTAAATTCGGCGATCGTGTGGGAGCCAATGTTTAGACGCGATATGTCCGTAAGCCCGGAATAACAAGTTCTCTTCAGAGAGCAATAATTTAGTGTAATGAGATAATGAAAGTTGTCTTCTAAAAGATAAGCAAAGTATTAAGAAACAGAAAAGATTTCGTTAGAAACAAAGAAAAGAGTACTGAACTGTTATGTAATATCTCCCCTCCTGAGAACTGATATTACATAACAGTACATTAGACTTTTTTTCTGTTTCTAACGATTTTTTTCTGTTTTTATTAATATTTCTTAATGGCAGCGAATGCTGGAAAATCTCTTCACAGATGACGAAGAGACTTGAAGCAATAGAAGTGTGGTTCTACAGAAATATTCTGTGAATGCCATGGACCGAACATGCGAGCAACGACGCAGTTTTAGAGAAAAATAGTAACAAAAAGGACACTTATACTTAACATCAGAAGAGACAGTTGAAATTTCTAGGGTACATAATGAGGAAAGAGGGCTTAGGAAAATTTGGTATTCACAGGACAGATTGACGGCAACGGAAACAGAGAAAAACTTGGCATGGCTGACTTAACGAGTTTGCGTAAATGCATGGCAGAACAAGGTTTAGGAGTGATAACGAAAAGATAAAATTTACTAAAAGTTACAAAATACAGGAAATGGTGGAGTGCCATAATCGTCCATGTCCTAAAGGAAGAAGATAAGTTTATTTGATTTTTTTAAAGAAAATGTTTCAAAATATTTTTTCTTTAGGGATTTATAGTAAAATTAATCCTAGTAAAAATGCAAAATACAATTTCCAGTGATTTTAGCAATTTAAACTGTAATCATTATGAAATTATTTAATCTTATCTGACTTTGTGTTTTGTCATCTGTGCGAATGATAGAAAATTCAAGATGGAAGAAGAATTTTTCGCACATTATTGTTGACATACTTGAATTTAGGAAAATGTTTTTTTTTTCTTTTTGTTCGTAAAGCGTATATTAAAAATATTTTTAAAAGAATAAATATAATTTGCTTTCTTCTTATTAAACTACGTTAATTTTCTATTACTCTATCACTTATGTGCACTGTCCCTTCGGGATGGGGCGATAACGGCTCTCCACAACTTCCTATCCTATGTAGTTTGAAGCAATTTTTTTTTTCTTCACTATTCCCACTCCGTGTTCTGTCATCCATTTTCTCAAGTATGTTAGGTTAATCACTTTTTCTCTCTGTGCCTCACACTAGTATGTCATGTCAGTGTCAAATTCTCCAAGCCTTCTTTTCTCATTATGTGTCCCAGATTGTCTCTTGTCATTTTTGCTTCCATTTTTCTAAAAACGTCCACGTTGCTCACCTCCATAGTATTCTCAACATGCTCCTGTAGGACTACATCTCTATTATATCACAAGTCTTAAGCTTTGAGAAAACTGCCCAACATTAATTGCCATATAGGAAAACTAGTACTGCACTCTTTTCTCTGTTTCTCGTGAAATTGTTTGTTTTAATACTTTGCTTAGCTTTTGGAAGGCAACTTTCGCTATTCTAATGCACCTTCGGATTTCGTTGTCACTACTTACCACGGCATTGCATGAACTCAACGGGAAATGACTACAGTTACTATCAGTATTCACACAAAAAACAGAATAGATTATATCTTTTCCTAGTACTGCCAAACGTTTAAAGCGATTCTTGCAAACTATTCGCAAGTAATTTTTCATTTTAAAAAGGACTCATGTTTCGACAGTAGAACCCAGAAAAACGTGTTATAATCTTTATCGCCGTGTTTAGGTAAGAAACAATTACTAAGTCCCGACTATGTTCAGCAAGTGAAAGGCGAGCAAAGTAATTTTCTTTCATTGAACGTCAGCTGTGGTTTTATCCTCATTAAATTCAAGTATAACTTGAGTTTTAGACAAGCAAGCAGACTTAGTATTCAATCGATATTAGCACAAACGGATAACTGTAAAGAAGGTTTGTGTATTAATCAATTTAATAAAACTGATTAATCAAAATTAGAGTACACAAAATATTATAGTATTAACATGAAATTTATCCTTCAAAGGTCTCTCGGAAAATATTTAACACGTTGACATTTTGGAAGCAGCATTTTCCTCTCTTCATCAGCCTTAGAAAGATATCACTTTTACTTTCCATATATCTTAAATTATGTTAACATTGTGCCCACTTATAGTAGTAAGTGGGTGTGACAATTTAATTTTCAGAATGACCTTATTGTACCGCTGGGGTTATGGTGGTGGTTTTCTAAGACTAGCTTACAAGGCCAAAACCTAGTGAGTATCAAACTCACTATTCATTCGTAATTGATCTAGCGAGATAAGCTTGCTAACCACTACACTAGGTCGAAGTGCTCATGTCGCTGGGTAATGACTCAGGCAGTGACGTACAGAGGTTTGGTGATGCTCGGAGCCAACTCCTTGATTGTATGCTCCTAAGACTCAACTAGTTCTACTCCGGTCTCACTTATTAAAACACAGATACACATTCACACGAGGTTGTCGGACTGTAAGACGCTTGTACAACAAAGTAATAGAGGCAATTTCAAAAACTAAATTTTTTATTTCACTCTTTGACTGGATGTCCTCGCGATACGGATATCAAGTACCCCCCACGACACACTTTCGGCTTGCTACTGAAGGCAGACATTTGTACTCAAGTACGTCAGGACATGTTCAATCTTCCGCTTTCTTGTGACGCAGACTGGATGAATCATTCGCCGCTGAGCTGTAGAAATTGCTGTGAAGAAATCGATTGCTTAGAGGTGCATACAAGGAAAGGCGAGGAGAATAAATGGGCAGTCAAAACACATGAAACACGTGCAACAGGAGAGCAACTAGTTGCACCTTCTTGGGCCCACGTTTTCCAATGACATTAAGTGGAGTGATTATATTGAATCAACTGCTAAGAAAGTTAGTTCACTTTGTCAAGCCAGACAGTTCTTCTCGTCAGAATCCTTCTTACACATTTAGAAATCTACCATTCGTCCGTGCATTGAATATTGCTGCCATATCTGGTCTGGTGCTTCTACTATACATCTCGAGATTCTTGACAAAATTCAAATAAATGTCTGTGTAATGTAATCGATCTTGACCTCACATCTCGACTTCAGTCCTTTTCTCATCGATGTAACCATGCCTACCCTCTGTCTTTTATACGAATATTTTCATGGCAATTGTTCTGATGAGCTTTCCTTTTGGATGCCCAGATTGCATGAATTTAAGCATGCTTACTAGATAGGCAACTAGGCCTCATCGTTTTAATATTGACCGAGCTAGATGCACCCGTATGTATTTTAAGAGTTTTTTCTCATATTTCTCGCCTGTAGAAATCTCTTAAAACGTCATACAATTTTTTTAAAAAATTAATGTAACATCAATCTGTCTTGTTAAAAACCTGTCCTTTCTCTTTATTAAAATCTTCTTATTCTCTTTCACTCCCAGTAATCGCCTTGCCTCTTAGTGGCATTATCGCCATCTTCTGTCTTGTTGACACTGTTCTTTTATTGTTCTTTCTCCTCACAAAGGTTTTCTCATTCTCTTTCACTCCCAGTAACCCACTTGCGTCTTAGTGGCATTATCGCCATTTTCTGTTTTCCTGGATCTTGTTCTTTTATTTCCCTTTCTCCTCACTAAAGTTTTCTCATTTGTTTCACTCTCAGTAGCCCCCCTCCTTTGCGTCTTAGTGTGGCATTATCGTCTTGCTAGAGTTCAAAATATTTTTAAAAATGTATACAGAAAACGATCATTGGGACAGTCAGATCCAAGATTAAGTGTTCCACTGATAGATGAAAAACTGAATGTAAATAGGAAAACAGTATGGAAGATTCTAACGGAAGTTTTAAAAATGAGAAAAAAAATGAACCGTAAGGAAATCGCGAATTCCTAAGAAATATATTACAAAAAGATGCCATCCGTCTAAATCAACAGACTTAGCCGTTTGTAATTTTTTTTGACTATTTCAAAAATTGAAAAATGCTCTGAAAAGACAATGATTTACTGATATTTCTAATATCCAGAAACGCGTGACTACATCACTGAAAAGTAATCGGAAAAATGAGTTCCAAGAACGTTTCCAGCAATGGCACCAACGACTTACGAATTGCATAGCCTCACAAGGAGAGTACTTTTGAAGCAGCAGCCAATAGTAACAAAGTTTGCTTTACTTTTACAGGGTATTCATGGGAATTAAATTGTTGTACCTTATATAATAAATCCGTTTTTAACTATTCTACCCAATTCATTCAAGTCAATCTGATTGGTTGATTTGTTTAACGGCATATAAACACCTTATGGATCAGTTAATGACGAAATTTAATGTTCTTGGGGGCTTTGAAGTAAGAACTATATGTTATTCTACTTTCACAATTGAATACATGGTAGATGATACTCAAACTTTGTGCATTTCTAAGTTTGTGTGGACATAATTATTAGAGGCTGTGATATGCGTGTTTTATGGTGTAGTATTTTCTTTAAGTTATATTTTGTAATACAGTTTGATTTAAGAAATTTTAAGATATTATATGGATTAAAGCTGTGAGAGATTTCCATATTAACCACTTAATGCCGAAATCTAAATAATTTGGACTCAATTTTATGACATCAACTAAATTTTGAACAAAATTATTTGTCTTCATCTACAGATAAAATGTATTGCTGGTTATTTTGCTGTTGTATATTGTTGGCCTTCTATATAAAATTGTATTGCTGGTATTTTTACTATTCAATTTGTTTTAATATTTCATAGTGTTTTTTTTGGGGGGATGGTCACTATTTGCCCATAGTTGGGATCCTAACAAGTGCTAACACCCTGATCAGGGTGGACCTGTGAACAACAGCAATTAAAATGTCGTCTCAGGCTCCTCAAAACTTCCAATCTCCCGATTGGAGGTCTTGCCACCGGATGTAGACACCCGAATGAAACAGTTGAATAAAAATCATATCGTATTATCTAAAGTAGCTAAGTAATCTGTAAAAGGCAACATAGATCGAAAGAGTTGATGAGCCCTTAAAGAAAAAAGATGTAAAGATTATTTTTACATTAGAAAAT